TCTGTCTGTCTGTCTGTCTGTCTGTCTGTCTGTCTGTGTTGTTGTTTCAAGGTAGTTTCCAGTTTTTGCAGCAAAAGTTCGGAACATTGTATATGCAATTTTAACGAGGAGACAGTGTTCTTTTTTCTCAGTTATATAGATATATAGAAAATCATTGACAGGTGATCTCCTGGATTTGTGACTTATGCTATTTGTTTTTTGCCACAAATGGCACCTATCAAATGGTAGCTCTAAATCTTCGGGTGATAGCTTCTACAAAAAACCAATTCTTCAAATTAACGAAGGGTTCTTGATGAAAATGAAAAGCACTATTGTTATGTACTAATGTTATGTAAAGTTGTCATCATTTCGCTGACGAATGATACCCTAATATTTAGCCACAAATGTCCAAGGGTCGGTTAATTGTCTGTTACAAGTGTTAGATGATATGCGCCTGTCGATAAATCGTATTTATCTCGTAATATACTTCTATGCTTCTATGAGGTAATATACCATATTGATTTACACTCTTATCAGTTGGAAGCTAAAATTTCATCAGCTGGTGTAGCTACTCTCCAATGAATCTCACGTCAATCCTTTTGTAAGATCCATTTATTCAAGAGCGATTACCGTCAGGGAATCGACCTACCGTTGAGAAGAGAAACTTTACATGCATTGAATATAGTATTCAAACGAGGTGGTATTAGAAAGCTAATGCTATGACTTACCTGTAAACATCATAAACTTCCTTGCATGATTCCACACCTATTAGAGACAGACACATTGATGCTAACGCAGTTTCGCTCACTCGCTGACCCTGGCCATGAATAGTTCCATGGGCCAAAAGTCTGTGGAGCAGGACTGGCGCGTCGGTCAGAGCGCTCGCCTGCCACTAAACCGCGATCAGGAGTTCTTTCCAAAAAAGAGAACGCCTGATCATATGTATAGCCTGCCACCAATGTGGCGCGGGCTTTAAACCTGGACCCGTCGTCACTGGTAGGTTGAGTTAATGTTTGTTTTTCTCATCCCTGCGCGGAGGTTTTATTCACCGGGTTCTTTGGTTTTTCCTATCTCCATTAAAACCAACATTTCAGATTTTAATACGATCTCTATGAACGAACACTTTGTAACGAGATAATGAGAGCTTTTCCTGTTTGTTGTGTAAATACAGTACATTTAAATTATTTGGCAAGTCAATCATGCTAGCCATAGAAACAGATTTAATTTTAAAAAGGTATATACTAGAATTTTATCGTGGAGTATCAATAAATCGATGGATACATAGATACTGTAATTAACAAAAAAGAAATTTGAGTGACTTAGTACCCCTACACTGACTGTGTTGGGCTTAAAAGATTTCTACAGGTTAGTTAACAAAGTGCAGCTACTGACGTTTACCTTTTTCGCAGTATTCTCCAATGAAACTTTTTTCACAACTACATTTGAATGTGTTCTCCTTGTAGTTTGGCACACAGGTACCTCCGTTGTGACATGGCGAGGAGGAACAAGGTGACTGAAATAAGATCATAAGCACATGATCAATATACAAGACTTGCTCTCATTACGAATCAAAATCAGAAAGCAAAATGAATATTAGTTGGACATTCTGCTTTGTGGATGTGTTGTGATTGGATTCACGTTGAGTTGTAAAGTGCTTCCAAACTCTTTTATAGAAAACAATCGTAAGAAAATACGCGCGCTGATTGGTTAAAAATCGTATTCCTATCAAACAATTAGATTATGAGCTCAAAATTTCTATAGCGTGATAGTTGACGAAGGCGAATCAAGAGCGAATAATCTAATTGTTTTAGTATAAATCTACTTGTCGTTCAAAACGTTATCCAATCCTCTTCATTAACACCTCGAAAACGCCAAGAAGAGGCCGTCATTCTGTTAACAAGCGCACACTGCTACGCTACTCACTATCTATAACGGAATAGATAGTGAGTAGCGTATAGCCAATCAGAGGAGGGCATTCGTGATAGAACGCTAGAAGATTTATACTAAAATTCGATAGAAACACGGTACATGTTTTCTATTTCTTAAGTATCGACTTGTTAAGTCATTAGTTTGTAAAATTCCTGCATCTTGGAAGCTGTGCCATATTCAGAATCCGCTATATTCCTCTTGGATTTCCGGGCTCTCTCTATACTAGAGAAAAATCTCCAAAACTGAAGTTACAAATTTGCTACAGCTATAAAGATATTGGAAGAAAATAATCAAGAAATATTGTTCCTTGTGTCTCCCCCGGGAGCTTTCTATAATAGGGTAAATTTGAAAAAGGGAGCTGAGAATACGTTTCCTCCGACTCATACCTTAAAATTCAGTAGAAGTATGATTCATCTTTCATATTACGTTATTAGACAGTGAATCTCACCATGATGGAGATGTGATGCGAACTTTTGTTTTGTTGATATTTCTCGGGGCTGTTGTACTTATCGGAAGGCAGAAGCTCACACCAAGGTTGTTTACGGACTGTTTGGGACGCAGCCAGGTTAACAGAGAAGCATGAAGGATTCCGCAGGCATTTAAAGCAACAATCAAATTCGTCAGTCGCCATAGTTGTTCCAACATTAGGCACATTCAGAGAGTGGAACTCGTGTACTGAATACAGACGCTCGTTATAATTCTCTTGCAGAATGTTTGATTCTGTGGGAAGTGAAAACAATGCGACCAGAACTTAGAAGACGTTTTAAGAAATATTTGACAAACTAGCTATTCTATTACGCTACGAAAGGTTACAAAGAAGTTTGAGGCCCCTGGCAATAAAGAGTAAGTTTATACGAGAGTTTGAATTTTCGGAAAATTTAGAAGGTATTTATAGAAATGTCACTAGGTCTTACTCTCCAACAAGTGTTTTAATAGAAATCTTCTTAGTTTTAAAAATTCAAACCGTCATAGTATGTCATTCTTTACTGAATGCTAGGGGCTTCAAACTCGGTCATTTTGATATTTTCCAGATGCTTTTTGCATTTCTGGCATTCTTTAACCCGTAGCCCATAATTGTATTAAAAGTAGGCCACGTGATGGCCTAGCTGCAAAGGGCCTATTATAGTATTGCAGAATATTGCCAAGGGGAATTTTTACAGGAAGTTTCTTATATCTGCACTGTTTTCATGAACCAGATACTATACGCTACAAACAATTTTCAGTCCTGTTCGTGAGCGTATGAGTCAAGATCACCATAAATAGACTGTTTTCCTTGATGACGTTTGGTCAACTAACTACAGGGTGCGCGCCTTTCGTTTGGATGACACTAGTTCCAAGATCACTAGGAACTGTTTCCGTAGTGGCGATAACATCCAGAGTAAACTTCGGCGTAATTTCTAATATAAACATGTTCTAGCTAGAAAAACAAACTGTCTCCGATTCATGTTAATTATACGTTGCAATGTCAACACGATGGTAAAATGAAAGTTCCGCCAAAGCTTACGACAGTGCGTCGCGTCAAAATGTGGTATATATGGTGCAACATTAATTATTTCAGCTAACGCCGCATTGAAAATAGTGAATAACGATCGAAATTCTCGTCCACAATTTTTATGTTGCAAAGCTAAGCAAACCTGCGAAAAAGGGCCAAAGGGGAATTTTATCGCAAATTTCCCAGCACCATTATCATTCAGAAACACTTTGGCGTTTGCAATTAGGTGCTTGCTGGGGAATAACGGGATCAGACAGTTCCGACTTAACCAAAGACTACCCTGCAAATTTCGTTTCTGTGCCATGTAATACTCCTTTCACCATGATAATTTAAGCCCGAATAGTCCTTTCAAACTTTGGCCAGTTGCACGAAACATTCACTATGATATGTTTAATCCCCTGATGCTGTACATGGAATTGAGAGAAAAAAACTAACCACTTTATTTAATAAGAGACAGCAGCTCTCATCATTTAAGGATTCAGTTATTCTACCGAACTATATATACATGCATTTTTAAAAGTTAAAATATAATACATACTCATTATTTCAAGCTGAACTTGCTCATTGTATTTTATCAATAAAATACAGAGATCGAATCTTACCTGCAGAACAGCTGGCTTTGTTCATAACAGACGACAGTGAGGCGACAAAACAGCAGACAAGAAACAGTAGATTGCTAAAAACCGCAATCATGATCGAATACAAAATTTTACTGCGATAGCAATTTTAACAGCGTACCTTTCAAGTTGCAGCAAGTGATGAGTTTTTTCAAAACTGTGAGAATGAGAGGTTTTTAATTTGAATCGAATTCAAGGTGCCACTCATTTTGGAGCTCTTTTGATTTGCAGGTGGCCATTTGAATAATGTAGTTGTCGGAATATGTTTTTCTTAGACGGATGAAATATTTGACACCAAGTGCGTAATTTAAACAAATCGACAATATATAACACGACTTTTTATTGACAATATTTCGCAGGCTGACTTTGCTCACGAGCGCGTCCGTTACAGCGTTACTACATCATGGTTAAAAATGCCGTTTTCCGCCAATTAAAAGCAGTAAGTCTAACTTTCATAACCGCATTTCTTTTCCTTTGACATGTCAGAACATATTGAAATAGTAATCAATGAGAATCCAAGGTTTTGGCCGTATGTCAACGGGTAAGTTTGTCCATGGAAGATCCTAATTCAATTATGCCTGCAACATCACATGACTCTATTGTGATGGCGTTGCACTGGATATCAATATTTAAAACTGTGCCATTTGGCGCTGGGGCCTAATGTTTCATGGATTGTTGCTTATCCTCACGCAAAACAGTCCACACCAAATGATTAGTTAGAGCTGTGTT